CTGGTTCAATCATGACGATTGGCTCAGATATTTCTGGTTCAATCATGTCGATTGGCTCAGATATTTCGCTTGGTTCTACCTTGTATATAGAATTAGTATGTCGTTCGAAATTCTATTAGCAGCATGCTGCAAACCTAACTCGATCGCGTACCACAAGTACGCGATCAGTTTCGTGCATCGCCTTCCCTTAGGATTTTTGTTAAGGCGCATGAGACTTTCCCTAATTCTCTTATATTTTAAACAGACATTTTCTACCGTTATTGTCGTGTTTGTTGTGACAGTTAACTCGTCAGCTAATATCTTCCCGTTTTTTTTCCAATTTATACGTTCGTTGTTCAGACCCCAGAACTGCGGATACTTTTTTAAAAACCTGTTGAATGATTGAGAACGAATATGCGTTTATTCTCAAAGCGGCACAATACATGCAAAACAAATGAGAACGAATATGCGTTTATTCTCAAAGCGGCACAATAATGCCATTAATCATAAAGCAATTGGCAATAGGCAATGCAAATTTCTGCTTGCAGCCATCCGGTGTTACAAATCCCTCGCCTGAGTTTCGCTTTAGAATTATAAAGTATGCTACGTTATAAATTGTTCGTTGTCTATATCCTAGGGTGTTGCAAACGAAATAAAAAATGTATTATAACTAACGTTCATTAATATATCAGCGCATATTAGAGCTAAAGTTTTACGAATATGTATGCTAAAATCCTTCGCATATTTACGACATAATGTTTGGCTAATGATTTTTAGCTGGCAATGCTAGAAAAAATCATCACGAAACTATGATACTACGCGGTGCAGCCTAGCATCTAAGAAATGCGAGGATAATTGGACTACAATGAAAGTACTTATCAAATATGTGTGAAAAGATCAAACGGTGCACGTTAATTGATTTGTGATCCATCGTATCATATACTCTGACAATATAATTACGCTAGCCCACATCAACTTAAATTCGAAAAAAAACATTGCTATGGCTGAAGATTGACTGGCAGAAAAGCAAAAAGAAAGTTTTCGTATTACATTTCCATTTGTATTTGTGCAATAGCATTTGTGATGCCGATTTCAGCTGATTTAACAAAAATTACATGCTTTTCAATTTTCAAAAGGAGTCCTGAAAAAACAATAATGCCTTCGCTTGCTGTGAATGCTTGACTGCAATTTTTAGAAAATCTTTCAATATACGGTGGAAACCAGAAATTTCTTTTCTTGCTATAGCGACATTAAAAATAAATCCGCTTGGCATTCAGTGTAGTGGCTAATTAAGTTGAGAGATTTTAGAAGAAGCCATCAACTGTCATAGTCTCCCGCGTTTTTTACTTACTCAACTTGTTTTTATATTTATTCGTTCTTAAGTTTTCAGATAAAAATATAGGTTGGCTGGCATAGCTTTATCTGTCCAATACTTCACTAATAAAAAGCAGCCACTTACAGTATACTATGATACTTGAACTTATAGTATACTAAGAAGCTTATACTTAATTATATTGCACCTTAAATATAAACTAATAGTCTAATTAATTTAATTTAATTATTATTATTATGCAGTAGAGTGATTATGACTCGAACGCGGTCTTGGCTGGCCGCGCTTGTTTATGGAATTTTTGTGAAATAATGTCTGTAGCTGGGACGATTAACTATTAACATTCTTCAACGAATGCAAGCATCGGCAATAGAAATCCGGGTAAGCAGATCTGAGAGATGCGGTTCGTGACTGCTAGGCTACGTTGTAGCGTAATAAATATAAGATAAGTTTCCATTCATTATAAATTGAATAGCGTGCAAAATATTCCATCACGATATATATTAGGCCGATTGTTAAGTAACCTCCGATGCAGCTACGTAGAAACTATTGTTGCTATTTACCCACTATAAGTGACGAAACAGACGAGTATTTGTTTACACTTTATAGACAAGGATTCAGTTAGTCTTCTGCCAACGGTTTTATGTGGTGCATGTTACATTCAACTGTTTAACCTTCGAAATAGAGAGCCAAAAAGTGCATATTCGACATGTAATGCTTGGGGAATTTAAATAGGGCAACAGCGCTCGGGCGGCACCTGAAAAATAAGCAACGTATACGATGAAGGAGTGATAACTGATCGGGTAGTTAGAAATTCGATCGTAAAATTCCATTCTAAAAATACAAGCTCAAAAGACGAGACATCCTTCCTTTAACTTTGAAGGCAACCTTCTAAAAGCGATTTTGCAGAAAAATATACCCACATTAACAAGAGGTACAGCAAAAAGGTTAAATACTTCACAATCAATGGTTAAATTAATATAATTTTGTTATACAATGAAAATAAAATAAATTTTTGATAAAAAAACGGAAGCTACTTATGACTAGCCCTAATTACCTTAACAGAACAAAACATCGAACAGTTTCGAAACACAACATACTTATGCAATCAACCACGTCATAATGGACACAACAAGGCAAATGGAACGGAATTGTTATATGAAGAGTATCGCCTCAAGCATGTAGGCTTAAATTGACCCTCGCCTAAGTTAGAGGAGGTTAGAGAATGCGGCTCGCAGAAACTAACTCAAACGGCAATCTCATATATAATGCCGTCCTTAAGTAGCATGTGGGTTAAACGGCATAATCACAGTGTTGCGTAACAAGTTGTTTCATTAGTTAATACTTGTTTTATTTGTGTCTGTCCGTGTGATGATCTTTGCTCCCAGCTCTCTGATTCGGAAAAATTGCGGCGGATAAATGTCAGTAAATCTATTCTCGATCTCTTCACGCATAATTGATTAAAAAGTTGATATTGATATCGATGTAAAAATTTTTCGTTATCTAATATTTATTTTAAATAAATTTACCCTTAATTTTAGTGCAAATTTACGCTCATATCATGTAGAGCTGCAATGTGCTTTTAGCTTATACATAATTATATTAAAATCAAGTACCACCTGCGCATTATTAGTAAAATAAATTGTTTACAATTTGTAGTCTCTTAGTGTACAAATTTTTTTCGATACATTTTCATTTTCATCCAATTTGGTTAATTCTATGTTAGAGTTCACTTCCAATTCGGGATCAGGCACTTCCGGTATATGAGAATTGGCATCAATTGATGTTACGCTGTGACTTGAAGCGTGTGATCCATCGCCATATTTTTCATAAGTACGTTGTATTAATTCTTTACTGGGTTGTTTCATATCCCAACACCAGCCGATTTTGCTAAAAGCATCTAAAAACATTGTTGTATAATTAAAGGAGTATTTTCCCAATTCGGCAGCTTTGTAATCCCATGGGAATACGTGATGATAGTTATGCCAACCTTCGCCTAAAGCAATTACCGAAACGTATACATTTTCGGTAGGATTAATACGTCTAAAGTAAAATGAGATAAATAATTTCAAATGTATTGTAAAAAAAGAGAAAAAGTTAAGCCAAAGCAACTTACTTATCATACGGTCGATTACCCCACATATGTGCAGCACTGTTCACCGACCAAGTGAAATTTAATGAGCATATATAACGAAATACGCATTGGCTGATAAGAGCATATTTTACTTCCTCACCCCATCCATAAATAGGCACAATAGTAGGTAAAAGAAAACAGCATAAAATTTTTAAGGGTATGAAATACTTTTCATGAAAAAGTACCACTGGGTCATCTGAGACATCTTTCATATCGATTTGACGACCTCTCCTCAAAACTTCCGGATGTTTGTACATCATTAGCCAACCGACGTGTGAGAAGAAGAAGCCGCGATTTGAATTATGCGGATCGGCATCCGTTTCCGAGTACTTGTGATGAACGCGATGATCGCGAACCCAATCGTATAAACTGTTCTGTAAATAAAAACTTACGATTAGTTTTTCAAAGTCGATTAAATAAATATTTCATATATAATATTTTGCTCTCCTAGACCTGTCCAGCTGCAGAGAAACATAGCATTAGAATTATCCGTAACGGTAAGTTAGCCTTAAAAGAACGATGTGTCCAAAGACGATGAGCGCCACCCGTTACACCGAAACCACCAAGAATGCCTACGAAAAAAGCTGAAATGGAAAATAAGAATTATATCAATGAAGCTACCTAATAAATAGTTTTGTCGGTCTTAAGGAAGTTTTTTAAAGGTTATAAAATAAATCGGTGAAATTAAGGAATAGCGTAGAGAAGTGTGATTGGTAATCTTTCAATCGCAAATTGTCTTCATTTCTAGGAGAGTTTTTTCAAAGCTTTTTTTTTCACCCATTACACTCACTACACACCCATGGGCTCAGATGCTCATGGGCGACGCAAGTGTGCTTGAGCATCGCGCATAACTAAAGTTGGATAACTGCTCAAAACAAAAGAAAGAGAAAAAACTCTTTGCTAACACAGTCTGATAACTCAACGAAAAACAACAGTAGCAAAAGAACAATGTGTGGCATCGGCGTTCTTGGACCTTAAAAGAGCATTTGAAACAATAAATAGAGAAAATATGACAGGAGAACTAGAGGTATATGGAATAAAAGGAGATGAGTTAAAGTGATTTAAGAGTTATTTGGGAAGCAGAACTCAGAAAACAAATATATATAAATACAATATTGATGTAGCGGTGCCATAAGGAGCTGTTTTGGGCACATTACTGTTCCTATTCTTTATTAAGGATTTAAAGAAAGTATTGAAAAAAGTGAAAATGTGTATGTTTGGAGATGATACTCTTATTGTATAAGTGAACAAAGCTCAGACGAATGCGTTAACCAGTTAAACGAAAAGTTGAAGCAGGTCGCCGAATATTTAAAAACGAACACACTAAAACCAAAAGCAATTCTGATAAATGCTACGGCTAAGGGAAACATTTTTATCGGTGAAGACTCAATAGAGCAAGGAAAAGAAATTAAATTTCAGTCACATTTTAATTATATCTGCAAACAAAATATCAAAAAAATTCCGTCTTCTCACAAGAATTCCAAACAAATTTTCAATAATGGCAGCAATAACAAGCAAAAAAGTTATATGCGGTGGAGGCCGAATCTCGCATGTCCACCACTATGGTGTTCGCATTCTACTCTCCAAGATCTTTTATTTGACGCCCATATTGCTAATATTATTAAGAAGAAAATGATCGTGGTGTCTACCATATTCATTTTGAAATAAATTCCTTTTTAGCCAGATAATATATCTTCATTTAAGAAGTATCCAAAATAGTTTTAAACGCTTTCTCTTGTTTGCCTTGTGATGGATGCATAAGCATAAAACCTCAAAAATATGAAAAAAATAAATTCTAATCACATGTAGCGTTATGTGGGCGTGGCCGACTTTTCTATTTTTGCACGTAAAGAGTACAGTATTTTCTAAAGTAAATGTGGGAAATTTCAACATTCTAACATTTATAATTTTCAAATAACAAGCAAACACCCACAAACGAAGTTGCATTCAGTTTATGGTCTACTGCGGGCTTCTGCTCTCACTAAGCCAATCTGCGTGCAGAAACTTGCAACGTTTCTACCAAATTTGAAGTTGATATCTTCAATTTTGCTACAAGGAGAGTGCCAACAATACACTGGCGTACAGATAAACAGCCGGAGAGAAGGACAGACGTAGATAAATCAACTCAGAATTTCACGCTGAGCAGGAATATATTCTTTTTAGGCTCTCTGAAGCTTCCTTTTGGATGTTACATGCTTTATCGAAAACAACCAAAACGAGTACACCACCATCTTACAGTGGTGGGTATAAAAATGAACAACACTACAGTAAAACCGCACTTTGAGTATTTTTCAATAATACTGTTCGTAGGAAATTAACAAATGAAGGCAAAGGATGCTTTGTATTTTGCGGTGTCATAGGCTTACGCCCATAAGGGATAACCTTGTATTAAGCGAAAATTAGTTAAGAACGTATAGATTTATAAATGAAAAATCGGGCTTTACGAAATTATGTGCAAAGAAATGCATCTCATTTCAGGCTAAAAATTAACACGGCTAGTCTCGTCCAAAATGTACTACTTCACAACGGATTAAAAATGTACAATGAAAGGCCACACAGAAGAATATTTTTATTATACCCACTACTGAAGGATGGGAGGTTTGCAAAGTATACGTATCTTTGATCAGTGTGAAATTCTGAATTGATTAAGGGAGAAAGACAAACGCACACAAACACGACGGCGTCGACAACGCATGTATCCACTTCGTTGCAGTTAGCAATGATTATTTTGTGCGTTGGACGATTAAATGGAGAAATTCGAGATCTAGAAAATATTTAAGCTTTAAAGGCAAGGTCTAAGCTACCGTCGATAAATATTTTACAATGCTTTCATGAAAGTGCTTCAAGTCTGTTAAACGAAATTCGCTGAACTCATAAAGACATTTTAGAGAGAAAAAAAGAAGCAATTTTGCTTCGGCAAACAGTGATTTTTATTGCAACGCTTCGTTGTACATGCACTCGCACGTACTAGGGAGAATTGAAAACAGGGATGTGATCATTAAAATCAGTAAAGTTAAGCTCATAATCATGTGAAAATAAATGAACGCACATAAATTGTATGCGCTCTCCAATTTCTATTTCTATAAATTACAAGCACTTGACGTACATAAAATACTTGCGATGCACAAATGGCCAAAAATAAAAAGCCAGGTAAAAAATGAAAGAAAGACAAAGCCGTGATTTCAAGCCACTTCACTTAATATTACTCTCCACTCACTCTCGTGATAAAATGTCAAAAATTACAGTTCGTTCCCCTATAAGGCATCCTTTCCATGAAAGCTTTTGTGTACGATCGGCCCAAAAATATAAACTGACGTTGTTCAAGTTAAAAAAAACGAATTTTGTTCTCAAAGTTCTGCTTAATCTCCATTTATTTTCTCCATATAGTGCTAAAAACCCAGCTTTGCCGCCATAGACTTTTAGGGGGAGTCGTGGTATGAGATAGGATTGAGAAAGAAACCTGAGTGGCCCGAATTTTATAAAATTTGTATTTTTGTGAGATCACTACTAAGAAGGAATTTTTATTATAAAATATTTAAAATTTAAATTGTAAATTTATTTAAAAATATTTTTGCCAATTATGCGTTGTGCGAAAAAAGTGATCGTGAATATAGTTCGATGTAATCAGTTTTTAACAGATTTGGTCCTTGGGCCAAAATACATCAATGTACCAAAGTGTCGTGAAGCAATCTCAATAATTATTGCACTTATGGTAAACGCAAATTCATGAACAGACATTACAAGGACATACGGACAGACAAGCTTGAATTCATGTAATAAACAGTGAATCTTTCTTAAGTCCTTCCTGGTGTTACATCCATCAGTACCAACTTAATACAGCGTGCTTGGCAAGTGGTGTAAGGTATAAAAGCCAATATATAAATATACGAACATGAGAATTGTTTGCAATTGTTGCAGATTTCGTAGACTTAAAAAACCAAAATTTTTTTTTTTTTTTCGCTTTAAATACCTTAAAATGCAAGCTGTACTCTTACTGGTCTCTATGATGGGCCAAGGTAGCATATTGACTATTCGTTTAACTTATAAAATGTTGCAGTTTCCCAACATTATGCATTATCAGCCGCTTAGCTTAAAAATAATTTTAAAAGCAAACAAAAATTTAAACAAACATTCATAAAATTTGATGACTACAATTTTCGTAAATCTTTGCAAGAGATAGAGAACAAGGAAAACGAGAAATTTATACAAATCTACAAAATAATGTAAGCAATTTGCCAAAGAATGAAGCACTTAATATTTATGAGAATTTTTATTGGCTTTTGTTGCCTAGAATATATGAAACATTAATTATATGCTATAAAGATCGATTTAAGAGAAAATAAAGTTTGCCTTAAAGCTTGGATGGAAGTTAAGTTTATCATGCTTTATGCTTTTTAATATGTTCAATCGGACGTCTTATTGTGCGTTGATATAAAACATGATATCCTATTAGGCGCTTATGCTTCAATGGTATTTTTCATTTAGTTAGCATTGCTTTGATTCAACTATAGACTCTACAAAAATGGTGATCAAAAGCCAATTGCGAGATGATTTCAGAACCAGAGCTTGCCGCCGTAATTCACATCTTTAGGGAAATGCCTGACTCTTTCGCAATAAGCAAAAAAGTATTATCATTCAGACTACTTCTATGTTTGCCTTAACTTAGTCCAAAACTATTTCCAATTGATATAAATAAACTGAATGATCTTAAGAACGCAATTTATCAAATGCGCATTTTGAGGAAAAGTCTTGCAATGAAGCACATACTTTATATTTGTCGAGGCTTTTCGTCAATTCGAAAAACCATATTCTGAGTGGCAAGACCTACGGACGTCCTAAACTGTCAACAAAACTTTCCATCAATGAAGCCAATAACTTTATGGCATCGATTACATTAACAGTACACTTTTTTCATCCATCGAAAATACAGCTGACAGTGTTAGCTGCTAGTGCTTAGCGTATTTTTTTTTTGTTTTCTTAAAGTCAAGAATTCGCTTCCGTAATCTAAATAAATTATGCTACCAATAATAATAAATACTACATTTGCCCAAAGGGTAGCCATGATCTCAACCGAACACCCTGTAATTACAAAATATTCTCTCAATCATGAGTTTGTCATCTTTTGATAGCTACTCTTTTAACTACCTCTAAGAATCGAGTAGTGGTTTCTCGATTCCCATCCTTTGTATTCTTCGTCATCACGTTTGTAAGCATGTTGTGTTTCTTTGTTAAAATTGACAAGTTGTGTTAGACTCAAATTGGTTGTAGGGAATCTAAGCCTTTAAAAACCAATAGATGAACGTAGGATAGATAGATCAACGTCGAATGTAGACCAGCTAAAATCAACTCACAATGGTTCCCTGATCAAAAATGCGCGTGCATTGTTGAATATCTGATGTGCATTTCGGCAAGTTACAAAGAAGAGCGTAAAACTAGTAGACTCCAAAATTGAAGTGAAATGCGCAAAATCACAGTAGTGTCATTAAATGCGCTGCATAACTTCGCTCAGCACAGTTATTCGTATGACGACTTTTCAATATAAGGTCAATAAGATAGTTCGGTCTGAAGCGTTTTCAGCAACCGT